GCGGCAAAGCCCTGAGGCGCAGCAGCGTGGGGGAGGGGGGGGGGGGGGGGGGCAAAGTTGGAGAAGAAGGCAGGGGGAAGGATAGGGGCATCCAACTCTAACAAGCCTCTCTCTCTCTCTCTTCCTCCCCCTCCCTTTGTGCCAGGGGCCACAGGGTGGAAACCAGCAATCCATGCAGCCAGAGAAGGTCGGCTGGGTTCGGAAATTCTGCGGGAAAGGCATTTTTAGGGAAATCTGGAAAATCTCTCTCTCTCTCTTCCTCCCCCTCCCTTTGTGCCAGGGGCCACAGGGTGGAAACCAGCAATCCATGCAGCCAGAGAAGGTCGGCTGGGTTCGGAAATTCTGCGGGAAAGGCATTTTTAGGGAAATCTGGAAAAACCGCTATGTGGTGTTGAAGGGAGATCAGCTTTATATCTCAGAGAAAGAGGTAGGATTCTTTTCTTTGGCGTCTCATTCCTCTCCCCACCCCACCCCATCCTCCCTCTGTTTTTCAGAAGCAAATTGAGCCGCCCAAGTGTTTACCCAACACCCCTTAGAAACCTGGGAGTCTCCATCCGCGGTGTTTATGAACCCGCTTGTAATTTGCTCGCTGGAGAATTTCAGTGGGGAATTCTCTTTTCACTCTCTGGCTCTGCATTGTCCATTCAAGGGAGACCTGGGCTGGGTTTGTGTGTCGATTCGAACAGCCTCCCCCCCCACCGCCATGCCCTGGTGTCTCCCAGAGAAGTCTGGTGGGGAGACATTTTTCCAGCACCGAGACAGGAAGCGATTTGCTTGGTGAATGTGAGGCTGCCCGTTTCTCCTTTCCCCATAGTGGATCAGCAACCCTCATGTATTTCCTTCTATCTGCCCTCCCTTATAGAGCTCCATAGAGGCCTGGTTTGCAGCCTCGCACCCCGACTGGCTTCCAAATGGAAACAGCAGCCAGGTTAGGGCACCAGATCAGCTGGTTGGGTTTTGGGTTCCAAGCCAGTCCCTTACCGCCAAGTTGGTTTTCCAAAGTAAGGGGCAGCGGGAAAGTTTAATCACCTCTTTGCCATCTTGTTAGGGGAGAAGGTGGGCTAAGTCCCCCTCTCTCACCTCCCAACAGGCTGAGGGTTAAGCGCTTCAGGGATGGGGTGTAACTGGACAGGGCCTTGTGCTCTGGGGCTCTGGTTTCACAGAATGTTGGGATCAGGAAATCCACCCACCTGGGTGTGGGTTTTTTTTTTTTTTTGGCGGCTTGTTTGTTTGGAACCAGATGTGTCTTTCCAAAGAAAATCTTGGGATTAATGAGGGCCACAAGACGCGAGGAGGTGTCAGGCCTTGTGGGGGTGAGAGGTGTGAATGAGGATGGATGGGGAGAAACAAACAAACCGGATTATGCAGTGGGGTGGAGGACTGCGAGCTGCTGAAC